CGAACACTGCCACTGCTGGCGAACAGCCGAAACAGATTGATCTTTGAACATTCTGGAGTTCAGCATGATGACACGATAAAGGGAAAATTAAAATGGGAAGTTTCTAGCAACCACACCGTCACTCTGCCCTCTGTTCACTTATCCACCTACCCAGTTTTCCTTCCAGTGGGAAGCTCCCAGACAACATTGGCATTTTGTGGTCTGCCTACCCGTTCCCTCACCCATCTGCCTGCCCGACTCTCCCTCTGGCTGCTTGCGGAGAGTTGTCCCCATAGAAAATAGGCCATGTTCAGGTGTCCTGCGATAACTTGTGGGCCATGAGTTGGCAGAAGCAACTTGGTGGTGGAAATTGTCCTAGGCCAGTAACCTGAATATACTTCTCTGTCATTTCAACCTATTAACTTTCATTCTTTATTGCAGAGTAACAAAGTAAAAATCTTGTATATCAAAACTTTAGATATCTGAAGAGATATCTACTTTTTTTCCCCAATATTTCAGCAAGGTCAAGAATTTGTGCTGCAGCACCAGATATTGGAGGTTTAGAATGTAGAAATGAATTGAAGAGGGTAGTAAACAAGAACTGGTCCCTGTGAGAATCCCATGTTTTTTCAAGTCCCGTCCCCCACTGTGTAGTGTGAGAAACAGCACACAGATTGGAACTCTATGGATATGGGGCTAGTGGGGGCACCCACATTAGCTGGAACACCAGCTCAAGATATCTACTTTTATAGCCCCATATTTAGTAAGTTTAAATGGCAGTCATATGCTCTCTTGTGAAATGGTGAAGATCTTCAAGCACCTAAGTCTGCCCAGAACTGTCTTTTCCTGGCAGTGGAAATAAAAGCAGGTCACTGGTACTGTTAGAAAAGCTGCACAATATGTGATATGATTGATCACATAGGATAACAACCTTTTAAGCTTTTATCTTATCTTTCTTCACTAGAAATGTGTGGTTATTACACAATACAATACAATAGCAGAGTTGGAAGGGGAGGTCTTATAGTCCAACCCCCTGCCTAGGCAGGAAACCCTATATCATTCCAGACAAATGGCTATCCAACATCTTCTTAAAGACTTCCAGTGTTGGGGCATTCACAACTTTTGGAGGCAAGTTGTTCCACTGATTAATTGTTCTAAGTGCCAAGAAATTTCTCCTCAGTTCTAAGTTGCTTCTCTGCTTGATTAGTTTCCACTCATTGCTTCTTGTTCTACACTCAGGTGCTTTGGAGAATAGTTTGACTCCCTCTTCCTTGTGGCAACCTCTGAGATATTGGAACACTGCCATCATGTCTCCCCTAGTCCTTCTTTTCATTAAACTAGACATACTCAGTTCCTGCAACCGTTCTTCATATGTTTTAGTCTCCAGTCCCGTAATCATCTTTGTTGCTCTTCTCTGCCCTCTTTCTAGAGTCTCCACATCTTTTCTACATCGTGGCGACCAAAACTGAATGCAGTATTCCAAGTGTGGCCTTACCAAGGCATTATAAAGTGGTATTAACACTTCACATGATCTTGATTCTACCTGTTTATGTAGCCTAGAACTGTGTTGGCTTTTTAGCAGCTGCTGCACACTACTGGCTCATATTTAAATGATTGTCCACTAGGACTCCAAGATCCCTCTCACAGTTACCACTATTGAGCAAGGTGCCACCTATACTGCACTTGTGCATTTTGTTTTTCTTGCCTAAATGAAGAATCTTACTCTTTTCACCATTGGATTTCATTTTGTTAGATAGTGCCCAATGTTCATGTTTGTCAAGATCCTTCTGTATCTTTAGCCTATCTTCTGGAGTGTTGGCTACTCCTGCCAGCTTGGTGTTATCTGCAAATTTGATGAGTTCCCCATTTATTCCCTCATCCAAATCATTGATGAAGATGCTGAAGAGTACTAGGCCTAAAACAGAGCCTTGGGGTACTCCACTGCATACTTCCCTCCATGAAGATGCAGTTCCATTGAGGATTACACGTTAAGTGCGGTTGGTCAGCCAGTTACGAATCCATCACATCAGAACTGACTGTGGTTAATATGCTTGTAATTTGTGGTAATATTATTATATTATAATGATATATATTATTATATTATATCCTGATACTATATCCTTCTTGTTTCTGAAGACATGAGAAGAATCTGGAACTGGATGGTTTGGTACTGTATTTTTGATATGGATTTTTTTGGGAAGGATGTTTTGAGAGATTAGTTATCTAGTTGTGTTTGCCCCTTCTCAAGTGGGAGACAGAGGAGGCTTTCTGCAGATTGAACCATTTTGAGAGACTATTTTTCCTTTTTTTTCTGACTTGGGGGTCAGGGTCAGAGATGATGAGCGTTGTAAGAGCAATGCAGGCAGTAGCATCATGGGAATTGGCAGGGGATGATGCCATGTTACAAGCCCCTATACTTGTGATTTCTGAATGCAGTTGCAGTTGCTGTTTGTCACTTTTAAGCCCCTATGTGGCATGGGATGTTTTAGTTGTGGATTTCATGTCCCAAATGGTTTCTGCATGTTTCACTAATATAGATCTAACAGACTGGGCATGCTTGCATTTTGTTAAAGGCACAGGCATTTAAACTCTTCCAGTACTATTACAAAATTATGAGGTACAGTAGACATGTGGTCCAATCTCATAGATTTCTTATTTTAACTTCTTCACCTGTTTTATCCCTCAGTTTATGAGAACTGTGTTCTTTCTTGTTTCATTCTCTGTCCGAACCTTAGATATGAGAATTAGGAACCAGTAACATGGAAATCTCAATCAGAAGGCATTAGTACAAGAATGTGTTTGTTTAACAAGAACACAACATGGCATTACAGGAGCCATAAAAGGAGTGACCTAAGGGGAAAAAAACTATTTAGCTACAAAGGAAGTAACAGTTGCCAAGGTGAGTAGCTTTACATCTTGGAAATGAAACTCTTAGCAGCCTATGGAAACTATAGGAATTTAGTCAATTGATTTAAAACTAAAGGATGTAGAAAGATCTCCTATTTACTTGGAACAGATGGTCATGGTTGCATCTAATCTANATTGTTTCTAGTTTTGTGTTCTGGAAGTTTTGCCCCATCAGACGATGGGGCAAAACTTCCAGAACACAAAACTAGAAACAATGGATTTAAAGTACAAGAAATAGATTTTAATTGGATAACAGAAAAAAACTAATAGTAGGAGGTAGTGGTGGTATTTGAAGATAGCTGTCAGATCTCTGTAAAGTTTTTTGTTTCCAGGTTAAACATACCCAGCACGTTCAAATGTTTCTCATAGATTTTTCTTTTCCAGGCTCCTTTTCTCCAACCATTTGCAAGAGTTGGGGGGGGGGGGGAAATCTGCAACTGGGTGTTTGTTTGTTAAACCTCTTTCTGAATAAAAGAGCAGGTCAGCATGCCCTGCTGGAGTGCCTATGTGCTAAGATTTTATGAGATGCCATTATTGTTAGCTGAACTAAACATTGTTGTCCCTTATCATCTGGAGGTAAGGTGAAGGACAGAGAGCAAAGCAGAAACATGGAGTGTTCTTAGAAAAGCCTGTCCAATATCAAGAACACTTGCTTTGTGAAAATCTATACTAATTTTGTCAGCTCCCAAATTCAGATAGGGTTTGAAGTTTACCATTTTATCAATGCATAATCCCTAAGGAAATTGGTGCTTCATATTTATTTATTTATTATTAGCCAGTGGTTAGATAAGTTTATTTATTATAGATCTTTACTAAGCAGAAAAATGACACATTTAAGCATGACTAATCTGCAAACCCAGGAAAGACATGGCTTCCCTGAGAGGTACTAACAGGTGCAGTGAATGCATCCTACACTCACTCCAAGCTACTTTTTTCTTTTTTTGGATCCTAATTTCTGATAATTTGACTTAAGTGCCAAATTGATTGCATGAAAGTTAATCCGGGCTACATGCTAGCATGGATAAGGCAAAAAAATGAATTTTTTTTTTAAAGAGAGGGGCTCTATGTTGGTGAATATTACCTTTCTTCTACAATTCCCCTCTCCCACCCGAAAATATACCCCATTTAACAATCATGGTTTCAAAGTAGCCCCAGTTGTGCATTTTAACAATTCTTTAAAAAAGCTCTGGAAAGGAAAATCTGTTATTTGCAATACGTTGTTGATTTTTAAAAAAAGGTGCCTCTTGTGGCTTGAAGTAAAAGCCTGATGTGGTCAGGGACATTTCTAGTCATTCTTAGCCACTGGCTGGAGTTTTCAAACTTGATTTAAAAGCTTGGGGATGTGGGGGACATGAAAGCACTAAAATTGACCAATTTTGGACAGCAGTAAATGGTTTTTAGGAAGTGTCTGAAATAAGTGACATAGTTCAATCTGACAGTAGCCTTCTGCCAGTGAAACAGCACTAGTTTAAGTCAATACCACTTGCTTTGTACTAACCAAGTATTCAAGAGGACTGGTAAGATCTTTAAGATCTTATGAAGCTAAAAGAGGAAGAGTTGATAAACTTTATACTGGTTCTGTTGAAAGTCCATTTATGTAATGTTAGATTTAGCACAATAATCCCTTTCATTACATTATATGATAGTCACATTTTTCTACATTGCCATGTCTGAAATAGATAAACTTCCAACATAAGCTTAAGTTCCAAGAAATCCTGTTTTGGGATATATTCATGTATTACACAAGTGGACTTTTCCCATGAACCCGCATGCATCATTCAGTTTCCAGATAAGAATAATTGAGTACAATCCTGACATAAGTATGCCGATTAAAGTGGATGAATAGAATTTTGTAATAGTTGAAATGCCATGGTGCTGAGATGATGCCATTTAAAAATGAACTTTTTGATAGCTTACTCATTATAGTACTAGATTTAGGAGACTGTTTTGCTGACATTCTAGCTTCCATTGTATGTACTTCATTGTACAATCCGTTTCTTTTCACGGATCCCATATTGCATTATTTTGCTGCCTAATCATTCATGGTCTTGTCTTATCTTCTACTTGCACGGCTCCATTGTGTAACCATGTGCTACATCATTCATCTAATGCAGGAGCCAATGAAGGTATGATAATGTTCTAGTGTTAAAAAAGTTGCTGTTTATTAAGATATTGTTCTTATTTTATTATTTAACATTGTAAATATGAGCACTTTTTTATGCTAAAATCTGTCATCTACCTCTTCCCCTCCCCCCAAATAAATGGTAGATAATGAATGCCCATCCTATATGCACAGAATCGAATTGTACACGTTTTTGAATTGCTTTTGATATGGAGAAAATCAATCTTTAAAAAAAATCAGTTGGCAAGTATGGAGATTGTAGAAAGTTTTTTCTATCACAAATGCAAGCTTACTTTAATACATTATACTAGTTCATGCAGAGATGTACTCATGTATGTGACATACCGTGTATGTCAAGAATGGGCAGTGATGTTTTGGACTTCGTAGCCAGTGGATTGTAGAACTTGTCATCTAGAAGACTAGTTTTGGCTTTTATGTCTTATGTTCCAACAATGGTGCTACTAAAGAACATCCGTTACACCAGTGGTCCCCAACCCCCGGTCCGCGGACCGGTGCCGGGCCGTGGAGTACCTGGCACCGGGCTGCGGAAGCTGGGTGTTCGCTGTCCCAGGCGGCCCCGCTGCGGGGAAACGGAAGCCCCGAGAACAAAACAGGCGTCAACGCAGAGAACGGGAGCCTCGCAGAAACAGCCCTTCGGGCGCTTCCTCTGCAG